TGCCTGGAGATAATTGAGTTACCAGTTAGCTGACTCAATTATCTCACAGGAAGAGAGGAGGGGATTGTCTGTTTGCATTGGGAGTGTTCATCTTTGTCACTGAAATATTATTGGCTGTAACTTTTGTGTCCCTGTCCCCCACAAGGTCCATGTGGGAGTACCCCTTGCATCGGGACTTGCATAAAAGCCAGTGTGGCATCAATAAAGATTAATTCCTGTTGTACCCTTCATGAAGTCTAGGCTCATGTTTAGGTAACCATCTACTTGCTGGAGAGAAACTACTTGGAAGCTGCATTCGTCTGAAACCATTCATATCTACACCCGAACTGCAGCTATAATCACTCAGGCTTGGCAGTTCGGGAGGAATAGGCGAACAGGGTATATACTATAACAGCATTCGTAAAACCACTCCTCCCAGAAAAAAAGTTAATTACCTTTTCTCCAGCGATGAGACTTCTTTAGCTTTGCTGGCCGCTCCACCTCCCATGACGTCATCCAGCTCTGGAAAGGAGCATTGAGAGGATCGTTAGAAATGTGAATTCAATGCTTTCCTATGAACTGTAACCTGTAAAAAAGTTTATTTATCATATGTTGATGAATGTATTTTTCGTTTGAGTAATGTGTCCAAGTTAAAATAATAATATAGCCATAATCTAGGTCTGCCCGCTCAGGATTGTCACTGAATTAATGCAGACACAACCTCCACTCTATAGGGAACAATTTCTCTACCTCACTGTTTCTTAGACAAGTACCCATCATAGCAATCATGCTGATATTCCTTAAATAACATATAATATTTTATTTAGCAAAAGTGAATAACAGAATTTTCTATCAAGTGCTTATTAGTCCCTCTTACAAATTAAACCAGTTATAAAGTACCCTCTGGTCTTATCAGATGAAAGCTTTATCGTATCTGTTGTTTAGGGTGTGAAACTGCACTGCACCTTGTTGAACCGCTCCCCTCCTTTTGCTCACTCTAGACACCAGCAGTACTACATTACGCTGTTTTGGTTCTGGTGACTATAGTGTCCCTTTAAGTTATTCTCGTGAACCTCAACCCTCTTAAATAGATTTCACATAACCCAATTACTTTCTCAATTCCAACACTCTACTTGAATCTGGTATCTCTTCTCTCTGCGCTCTAATGAAATTTCTCAAACTAAAGTATCCAGTGATTGTGTTACTGATTATATTACTACTGGTTATTATGCCTTTCTGCTACTTTTGACACTGTGAATCATTTTCTTCTTGTTCTTCTTTCCTCTACATTCTTTCCCTTAGCAATGTTTTATCTGGTTCGCTGTATTCCTTTGTAACACTCCATTATCATCTCATCTCTATCTCGTCTAGCTGGACTGTCTGAAGATTTCGTTGTGGATCATGTTTATTGTTTTCTATTTTATACCACATTTCATGGTAATCTAACAAGTACGAGCTATATGCAAACACTGACTGGGTTATTCACTAAAGGGAGAATTCAAAGAGAATATTTACATTTAAGGCCAGAGTAGCCAAACTGAAAACATTGCGGAATTAGATCATTTTTCCAGTTCAGGTATTTTGCCCCCTTTTGCCCCCTTAAGGACCAAACTTCTGGAATAAAATGGAATCATGACATGTCACACATGTCATGTGTCCTTAAGGGGTTAAAGGACCACTATAGGCACCCAGACCACTTTAGCTTAATGAGGTGGTCTGGGTGCCAGGTCCAGCTAGGATTAGCCCTTTTTTCTATAAACATAGCAGTTTCAGAGAAGCTGCTATGTTTACAATAGGGTTAATCCAGCCTCTAGTGGCTGTCTCATTGACAGCCGCTAGAGGCGTTTGCGTGCTTCTCACCGTGAAAATCACAGTGAGAAGACGCCAGCGTCCATAGGAAAGCATTGTGAATGCTTTCCTATGGACTGGCTGAATGCACGCGCAGCGCTTGCCGCGCATGCGCGTTCAGCCAGGGACGTCAGAAGAGGGAGGAGAATTCCAGCGCCGAGGGAGCCTGGCGCTGGAAAAAAGGTAAGGGATTAACCCCTTCCTCCCCCTTCAGCGCCACGGGAGTGGGACCCTGAGGGTGGGGGCACCCTCAGGGCACTATAGTGCCAGGAAAATGCGTATGTTTTCCTGGCACTATAGTGGTCCTTTAAATTTGAAATTCACCTTGAATTTTCACTTGAATGAATAACCCTGTTAGATATATATTTATTCAAATAGTATACCTGACAGTTTGTCTTTCCTTCTATATTTACCTTTAATCCTTTGTGTCATTATACCCACTTAACTTACTTTACTAAATAACTATGTTTGACTGTAAGCTACCCTTTAAATATAACCCTGATTTTTTTTCTCATCATTTACTTATATATGTTTTCCAACCCATTACACACAGTGTAGAAAACATCAGCATTTTAAAAATAATAATAATAATAATAATGTATGAATGTATATTATCCACTTGTACACACTCCAGTTATCTCTCACGGACACATAAAACAACACGATTACTTAAACACACATACACTGCTTTTGCAGTGTTTCATAGCAAAACACTGCACATAGAGACTTAAGGCACCATAACCACTTCAAATCACTGGAACGGTCATGGTGGTCATGGTTCAGCTCATTGAAGTAGTCTGGTTACAGTGTCCCTTTTGCACCTAGTGCTGCAATGTACATTGCAGTTCCAGAGAAAATTCAATGTTTACATTGCAGCACTAAGTCAGCCTCTAGTGGCTGTCTACCAGCTTTGTATTCCTGGCACTACAGTATCCTGGCAGAACAATAAAACATTTTCATTTCCATACACTCTGTATAAGATGTACAGTCTTCCATTATTTAATAAATAAATACCCAGAGACCATTGTAATACAAGGCAATACTTTACTAAAACTTCTCGTAACAAGAGCAACATATCAAGACTATAATTACAAGATATCATATTGCTAACAATATTAAGAACATAAATTGTAATTAGTTTCAATTAGATGATTATTTTTACAGTAATACACATGAGTAGGCACAGGCTTTTCCAGGGGATTCCTCTAAGGCAGCGGTAGGCAATCAGCAGCACTACAGATACTGTGGACTGTACCTCTCATAATTCTCTTACATCCATAATGCTGGCAAAGCATTATGGGAGATGTAGTCCACAACATCTTGAGTGTCAAAGGTTGCCTACCCCTAGGCCATGTAACACGTGATATGGATCTTGTGGGTCCTGGCACTCCTTCTACAGCCCTTGTTCAGTTATAAACATAGAAGCAAATATGGCTATATATGTGTTTGGTAGTATAGGATATATTTTACGCTTCATTATTACCCATTGCACTAAATCAGACCAGCCACATGTGATCTTTATAAGGGGCATGCATGACACTCCTGGTTTACTTTAAGAACACTCTAAACACCACGACTGTTACAGTTTAATGTAGTGGTTCTAGTGCAGTCTCTGGTGCAAGTGTAAACATTGCATTTTATGAGATAAGGCTGTATTTACACTGCTGCCCTGGGCTGCCTCTAGTGGCAGTCACTTAGACAGCCTCTAGAGGAGCTTTCTTTTGTGGTCAAAGATTGAGAGACCAACATTCGGCGTCTTCACATTCAACATGAAGACAGAGAACGGTATAATGCTGTCTCACAGACAGTCTCTTATTCTTTTGTCAATCTGTTTTTTTATTGAGGTAGATTGTGCAAAACAACATAAAAACCTGTATAAAAGCTTAAGTACAGATATGTGATTATATTATATGTATTACCTAGGGATGGGGGGGTGTATTAAAGGTGCACAGAGTCACCGTGAGTTGCTGACGTGGGGAATATCATCGCATCAAAAGTGGAGATCATGTAACTGAGTAAAACAATGATAGTTAAAGGACCACTATAGGCACCCAGACCACTTCAGCTTAATGAAGTGGTCTGGGTGCCAGGTCCAGCTAGGTTCAACCCTTTTTTTATAAACATTTATAATTTTCACAGTGAGAAGACGCCAGCGTCCATAGGAAAGCATTGAGAATGGACTGGCTAAATGCGTGCGTGGCTCTTGCCGCGCATGCGCATTCAGCCGGTGACGGACGAAGAGGGAGGAGAGGAGGAGGAGAGCTCCCCGCCCGGCGCTGGAGAAAGAGGTAAGTTTAACTCCTTCCTCCCCACAGAGTCTGGCGGGAGTGGGACCCTAAGGGTGGGACCACCCTCAGGGCACTATAGTGCCAGGAAAACGAATATGTTTTCCTGGCACCATAGTGGTCCTTTAAGCTAATATAGGAACGTAGCAAACAAAAAACACAGAGTCTTTAACTAGAGTCCATGTGAGACCTGTAGAAATGCAGGAACTGTACAACGTGGGGCTATCTGGATACTCTTCATTTATCGCCAGGTGCTTTCCTGGGCGTGAATGGCACTACGTTAGATGAGGTGGAGACGGCCTCTGAGTCTGGTTGGTCTTGCTGGCCGATAGCCTGGTAGAAGCTGGGTACTCTCGTTATATCTTCTGATCTGTGTTCCTTGCCCTCTCGGGTGACGCACAGCATGCGTGGGAAGCCCCATCTATATTGAATCCCAGCGGCGTTGAGTCACGGGGATGGAGGGATGCTCTCCATGTGAGAGTGCTCTGCTGAGATCCTCTTAAAAAGACAGTTGGGAGCCTTCAAAGTCGAGCGGTTGTCTGTTTCAAACGGCAGATATCACTGCCCTCTTGTTGGCAATCGATGGAAATGTCACAATCACGTCTCGCAGAGGAGCTGTCATGGGAGCGAGGGGACGGCCCACTCGGAACACCCCTTCAATGAGCATAGATTTCACCTGCTTAGATGGCAGAAGGGTGGAGAATAAGCATCAGGTGTACTGAGGCAATTCTTCAGTGGCAATGTCGCTGCTCACCCCTCTGATCTTCAGGTTTCACCAGCGCAAGTTATCATCCAGGCCTACCACACGGCGGGTGAAAGCTACGTGTTGCTGTGTAAGCTGCTGGGTGAGTGTGGCAGCATTAACTTGGGCCGGCGGGCCGTCACCGATTAATCCGCCACAGAATTCATGTGACCGGAGAGGGTATGCATGTCCTCCTGTATCAGTGCACAGTCTGCTTGGAACATTGTGCGCAGTTCATGCAGGAGGTGTTTAAGATCATCTTTGGTGGTCAGGGCACAATCGTCATCCACCTTGGTAGGTCTTTTATCCACCTTTGTAGTTGATGCCCTGGCTTCTGGAACTGGGTCCGGAGCATCATACTCCAGTTCTTTCGAGGAGCAGGAAAGCGACCTTTGCGGTGGGGCCGCCATCTTAGGCTGTGACTTAGTGCGGAGCAGATCCCCAATATCACGGGATCCCTCACGCCTATCTGGCCAGGACTTTGGGTTTTCTTCCGCATGTTGACCAGAGGCAGTAGGTATCGACCGGGCTCCGGTTTGGGCTCTCAGGTCGGCTTGAAGTGGGCTTAAACCAGCGTATCTCCTCGAGCTCACAAGAAGTGCTACTTGTCCTGATGGCTGCTCGTTCCCCCCTAACAATCTCTCTTTTTACCTATTTTGTCTTTAAAAACAAATGCAAAAAGTATCAGAATTTGTGGGATTTTGATCAGTTTGACATGGTTAGCAGTTTATCAGCAGCGCTGACCAGCAACTGCAAATATTTAAATCAGCATGCCCAATGCACTTTTCTAGCATTCCTAGGGATAGGACACTGATTGGTTAGATCGGTGTCTCCCTGGAGTGGGTGTGGAAAACATAACAATGAAGAAACAGGTAAAGATGAAAAACAAATATGCTCCTGAGTGAGACAATTATCTTATTTAAAGCTAAAGCTTTTGAATGCGTGTTTGATGCATGTTCCTTTAGTATTGGGCTTTAGATTTCAATTTACCCCTTCCACATTATTTGTGTTTCTTCTAAAGTAGTTAATCTAACGCTCAAATAATTTGAAAAGGGAGACAAAAGAAAAACACCTCCAGGTCTAATTCTATGGAACATTTGGCTCCTTAAGAAAAAAAATATCAAGTGCATTTATCACACAATTCTCTCTTTAACTGTTTCAGTGCTCCATTACATTAGTAGCAGGGTCATTCAATAAAGTGAATGTCAAATTACCGGTATGTGCTAAACTAGCTATTTATAACTGTCAGATATCCTTTTAATTTAGCTATTTTGACTTAAAATGTTAATTTACTTAGAATTTCTGATAATTAACACTTCAATGAATAACCCTGAGTGACTAGATTAAACGTTAGTATTGCAAGAACTCAGAATAAATTAAAAAATTAGATCCAGTATGCTGCCTATGTGTAGTCTATCTTATATGAATGCAGACATTGGCACCACTATGATTAGAACTGCTTTTCTTGTTTATGTGTTATTGGGACATTCTATGGTTTGTATGCAAAAGAAGGTTTTTACATGAATATTAAAGGAATACACCAAACACCATAACCACTGTAGCCTGCTGTAGTGGTTAAGGTGCCAGGACTACCGTCCCAGTATATATTGCACAATGGAATGGACAGTAACAGGAGAGCAAAACAAAGAAGAATCAAATAGTTGTAGCAGGCTTAGAGATCTCCTGTTCACACACTCACTGTTCATGCTTTGCAGCTGCTGGAGCTGATAATATAATAAATTACCTCTGAGTACTGCACATAGAAATGAATTAATACATCATGCATTCGTCATGTGAATATTTTGGCAAGAATAGGCCATTTTTTGCAAAAATGCTATTTTTTTTTTCTTGCTTTTTGCATAAATGTTTCCCCACCCCTACCTAACACACTATTAATAAGGTATGTGTTTGAAAAATGTACAGATCAGAGTTGCTATTTAAAATGCAGATAAAATGTATCGTCGCAGCTTGATTCATTGTTCAGCACAGAGATACTGCACCACTTAGCAGTCAAAGCAGTATCACCACTGTGCACTTCACTCCTACAATGCTTAGCCAGCTAAGGAGGGAATTATGTTTCATGGCAGCCTGTGCCCAACACTGTGAGGTTTAACCAAGAATTACTGTAGTGATTGCAAATTGCAGGCCAAAGTAGACGATTTGGAGAAATTCTCAAGCTCAGCTATACATTCAGCTTGGCTGTTTTTGTCTAAGCTTTGCAAGTCCTTTGTAATTTCTTTACTCCCTATTTAGTAACTAAGCCTCATAGTATGCACATAGTGTGGCAGTAATATTACGGTACAAATCTGGCAGCTATGGACTAAATATACTGGATGTGATCATATCCCACATGTTAATGCACATGTATCTGTCAATAGTGAACCCTTTAAAGAGCTATATCAGAATTTAATGCTATCTTCATCAACGCTAATGGCTCTGTATGCAACTGCTAATGCTAAGTCAGGGGTAGACGATCTTCGGCACTCCAGGTGTTTTGGACTACATCACCCATAATACTCTTACATTCATAATGCTGGCAAAACATCAGGGGAGATGTAGTACACAACATTTGGAGTGGGACCAGACAGTGATGACAGTGATGACATCATTGAATTTATTTGGTCTTTAAGGGGTTAATGTACGGCATTCTTCTGCAATGATTCACACAAGAGTTGCAAACAAGGGGCCCCACACTCCAGCACACAAAGCCAGCACGCATACTAATCAATACCTCTTTACACAAAACTCATGTTTTGCTTAGGTCGGTCACGCAGATACCCTGCTAGCTCAGATTCATAGCACAGTGTCACAAATGCAGATAGTGGGAACTGCTGACACAGCATGGTAACACTCACATACACGTGCTCTGGCACACAGGATATTTATGACATCCCATGCACCAATTGTTGCATTTCTTTCCCCCACTCCAGGACAACTCCCTCCTCACTCCTCCAATAACCGGCTTAAGCCTCTGTGATAGGCACACAGTACTGCCCAGCGTCAACCTGTGATTGGCTGACACAAGAATAGTCGCAAGAACCCATGATTGGGTACTCGGAGGCCCCATGTGCTGTTATTGGACAGTGTGTCCGGCTCGGTTGCAGAATGTTGTTGAGAGGCAGGGTTGGTGCGTCTCTGTCCGGTGCCTCTCAGAGCGAGGTCAGCCCGGGGGGAGGCAGCAAGCATAATTTATTTATATTGTTTGGGTGCTCTCTGTTGCTCTGTGATCGGCCTCTCTCCTCACAGAAACTGCAAATTTCCCCCCTCTCACATAGCAGCCAATACAGTCCCAGCATCACTCCACTTCAGCCAGTAAGAGGGGACATGGCTAGTAAACAGACAGTTACACTACAGCTCCGTTGGTGGGTACTGGAAGTACAGTGTGCTGATTGGATAAAAGGAAGCTTAGTATGGGTGTTGCTGGGAGTTGTTGGGAGGCAGAGCAATTTTTTTTCAGTCTGACAAGAAAAGCAAATTTTAAATTTTTTTTTTTTTAAATCTTGTTCTTTTACGCCCAGCTCTGGATATTCTCTACTGTATCTTGTGTTTACATGTTATGTCTGTTTCCAGAGTGACACTCGGGCTGCAGTCCTCTGTTGTGAAATAATGACCCGATCCTCTAATGACATTCTTCTTTTGCTCCTATTCCTTAAACAGGGATCTTACAGATCTTCAGACTTAACTCCTTCTGCATGTTCTAATGCAAGACCACAGCATTCTAATACACTACAGTAACTTCACTGCCCCGGCCATGTACAGTACATCTTCCTGAACCTCATTTCTAGAGGTGAATCTATAACTCAAGAACTGTACTTGCTGCCCCCATAATGCAGATAAACTGAACACGATCTATCTCAGTCTTGTGTGTACTGTACTCTACATACAGTCAATATACTAGAACAGGGGTAGGTAACCTTTGGCACTCCAGATCTACTGAATTTCCCCTGATGCTTTGCCAGCAGTATGACTGTAAAAGCATTATGGGTGTTGTAGTCTGCAACATCTGGTGTGCCAAAGGTTGCCTACCCCTATATTAGACTCATATCTCCTCGCTCCACAATGGTCTGATTGCTGCCACCCCCAACTGCTCCATGTAACACGTGATAGTCTTGACGATTTGCCGGTTAATCTTTGCCGGTGACAGCCACTGTTAACTATGTATAACAACCCTACATTGGCCATGTTTGTCTGGCTGCCACTCCACATTTATACACAACAGGTAATCTATAGGCATTTGCAAAATGGACAACTGTCAACGGGTTAATATTCTGTCTCAGGGAGACAACACGAATACAGAACCACACTTCAGGGGCTCAGTACAGCCCACTGATTAGTCTGTGCTGGACTTATTTTGTAAAAGCAGAAAGCTGGCACAAATGATGGCCATTCAACTTTCCCTGTAGGAGAGAGCAAGGGACAGGTATGTGAGGTAGAGGTTACTCTGGGAGCCCAGCAGAGAGGTCAAGAAGAATTAGTATGGAGTAGTGGCCTTTGGATTTAGCTGCGATTAGCTAGTTTACTTCTATTAGCAACATATGACGATTGCACGGGTGAAGTACACCATATAGCATATTGTTCAACATATCTTTTGCATTTCAACTTTTTGACAGGATTGACCTTGGGTATGCCATGGATCTAATACTCTCTAAGTAGAATCTAATACATCAATTCTACATAGAGGCTTGTTACCAATTTTAATTCTAATGCTTCAGACTAATCATTGAGGCAGGCCTTTATATGAAAAATTGGGTCTTGAGGAATCCCCTTATGGCACAACTCGGTTTAGGAAATGCCTTTTCTTTGTATTAGTAATCAGTTAGGGCCCTGTAGCATTAGGTAACTGCTCATATAGTCAATACATTTACCAGCATGACCTTGAGATTCTGAAACTTTGTTCAAACTCTAGACTCAAGGTCAACTCCTGAAAGTTCTCCGGTATACCTATGGGAGCAGCATTTATTTTATCTACTAAGAATTTTTACTACCTGTATAATACATTGCTCATTTGGGAGTCATATAGTTAATGACATACATGAAGTACATTTCTGCTGATTAGATGACTGGCTATAAGTGTTGAGAAAATAATAATACATTTCAGACGGTATGCTGATAAATGGTGATGCTTCTTTCATATTTCTCTTATGATTGAGTCAAATTAGAAAAGCTGGGGATTTCTATTCAATTGATATTAAGCTTTCAAACAAAGAAAGTATAAAGTCTACAAGCAGAGTGTTGTATAGTAGACATATGCAATGTTATGTTTCAAAGTAATGAATTTTAAACATGCTAGGTTATTCACTAAAAAGTGAGGATTTGCTGGGAATTCAAAGTGAATTTCAAATTTAAGGCAGAAATTGCCAAACTAGACTCATACCTTACTTGGAGAAGTTCATTTATTTTGTTCTTAAAT